ACTTTACAGTATTATAAGAGAGGGGATTTAACTATAAATAGGACAATTACAAGAAAACTTACTGGAATCAGGGGCGGACTGACAACTTATAGGGCCCTCGGTCAATAGTAGATCAAGGGCCCCCCTCCCGGTGCAAGGTCTTTGTGCAGCTCTCATACAAATATGTGCGCGCTACCCAGCATGGCTGTCCCCCAAACAGGGCCAGATATACTTTAAAGGGTTAATCCAACCAAAAACAGTGTTTTAATAAAACATTGTTTTTGAGTGGAGTACCCCTTAATAGCTTGCCTTACGCTCCCCTCCCCCCATTAAAATAAAGACATAAAGCAAATTTAATTAGACCCTTCCTCTGTGTTTGTTGGTGACATCACAAGCAGCATCCCCCACATGTTCAACCATACAAGCAGCCTCCAAACACGTGTTTGGAGGCTACTTGTGTGGTTGCATGTGTGGGATGCTGCTTGTGTTCCTGAATGTCAACATGTTGAATTAGAATTAATTGTTTGACTTGTTTTACCTATTGTACTGCACTGCAGAATATGTTGGTGCTATATAAGTAATTGTAATAATTGTGTTTGTATGTATAAGGAGGCTGTATGCAGTATTGCAATGCTGGGGATGCCTCTTGTGATGTGTGTGTGTATAAGGAGGCTGTATGCAGTATTGCAATGCTGGGGATTCCTCTTGTGATGTGTGTATGTATAAGGAGGCTGTATGCAGTATTGCAATGCTGGGGATGCCTCTTGTGATGTGTGTGTGTGTGTGTGTATAAGGAGGCTGTATGCAGTATTGCCATGCTTGGGATGCCTCTTGTGATGTGTGTGTGTGTGTGTATTAGGAGGCTGTGTGCAGTATTGCCATGCTGAGGATGCCTCTTGTGATATTTGTGTAGGGAGGCTGCATGTGGTATTGAATGTGTGGGGATGCTGTTTGTGGGATTACGTGCATACAGTGAGGTTCCTTGTGGGTTTGTGTGTGTGTATGGAGCTGTTTGCAGTGTTGTATGTTAGTGGAGAGGGCTGGTTGTGTTGCAGAGAGTGTGTGGATAGGGGCTGTTGTGTGTGGGGGGGGATAGGGGCTCTAGTAGGCAGCTGGGGGATACTGGGACTGTAGTGTATGTTTGTATGATACTAGAGGCTCTACTGTGTGGGGGAGATACAGAGGCTGCAGTATGTGTGTGGATAGTGGCTGCAGTGCATGAGGGGGGATATGGGCTATAGTAGGTGCAGGGGGGCATACGGACGGTGGGGGGATAGCAGCTGCAGTGGAAGCAGTGAGGGATAGGGGCTGTAGTGAGTGCCGGGAGGGATAGGGATGAGAGTTATGAGGACTGTAGTGGGTGCAGAAAGGCATAGGGGTGAGGTGGGTACAGGGAGAGAGAGGCTGCGTAGTGTACAAGAAGGCACAGAGGCTGTGGTGGGTACAGGGAA